CGCTCTGGTCTCCGCGATACGTTCTCGACACGCGGTATTAAGTAACCGCTTCTTTTCTCTGATGGACGAGCTCTAGATTCTAGCGTAATTCTACGCGATGCATGTATCGCAGTTACGGAGATCCGTGACGCAGTTACGAAAATCTTCGGAATGCGTGAACACGCGAGAACATCCTCTGAAATCTAGGATCTATTGACGACGAAGATAGTACGCGACACGAAACGGCGACGCAACAGTACAATACTAAATTACAGCACAACAATACGATACAAAATCATGACGCAACGATACGATACAGAATTATGACGCGACGATACGATACAAAATTATGACGCGACGTTACGATACAAAATGACCTGGCGGTGGCCGCGGCGGGCGTGCAAAATAACTGACTCGAAATTGTAACGAAACTACGACGGTATCGGACGGGATGGCACGATCACGCGGTGCGCGCGTGCAGCCGCGACGCAGTTACGGATCCGTTAAAAGGATCCGACCCCACGGGATCCAACGACAATTTTGCGGATACGTGTGATCTCTCCAATTCGGAAATCGGCGGCTTTACAATATGTTACGTTCGTCTCACCACAGGATCCTCTCGGTACTCGCTTGCTCAATCGACGTCCTGCGTCCTCTCGCACGTGTTTACCGGGTCGAGTCCACAGCGCAAGTGTCGGGTCCGAAGTCCCTTCGGGGGCGCGCAGGCGACCGTGGGCCCACGTGATAAGCCTTATCGGCCCTGATTGGCCGCGAGCCATCTCGCGAGCTTCCGCGAGTCCTCGCGACTTGCTATCGCGTCGCGCGCCCTAGATCCTTGAGCGCGCGGGATTTGACTCAAGGCTGGCGTCGTTTTGGCTGCTCGCAACGGTCCCCTCTGGATTGCTTTTGCCAGCGTGTCGTCCGGATTCGATGGATTCCTTGGCAGACAGGCTCGGCCTCCGGATTCAATGTCTCCTCTCGGTAGAGGCTTCCTTGCGGCACCGACAGCGGGATCCCTCGCTCGTCCTGTGGCAGAGGGTGGCCATCCCCTCACGCCGCCTTAGTCGCTCCCGCGGCATAATCGCCTGTAAAGAGTTCGGCTTCAGGAAAACACGTTTTGCTCAGGGCGTTAATTGGATAGTATGGAACGGTATCAACTGTATGCTACCCCCTCCTCTGGGTGGCCTCGGGCTTCCAATATGGTCTTCTATCTTCTTCTTGGCCGCCTCCTTGAGGTGGTGGAATGTGTCGCACATTAAATTACCTATCGCAGCCACCGATACTAAAAATTCTCAAACAAATTTACAAAAAGAAATAGTAACGTTACTCGAAACGCGACGACAAAAATCTCCAAATTCTCGCTCAAAAATCGCAACAAGCGTCGGCACGCCCGCCCCCCGCGTCTGGAAGACACAGGACGCCGCGGTACTTCGGTCAGGTTGAACGACCCTTGTGATGGACGGTAAAAAACGTCACGTCACAACAAGGTACAGTCAAAACAGTGGATTTCACCCGGCGAATGTGCTCCGAAAAAGGCCAAGACGGTCTCATCGGCCGGAAAAGGGATGATTACTGTTTTTTGGAATGCGCAAGGTGTAATCTTCATCGACTACATGGGGAAAAATAAAACTATCACGGCAGTACTATGCTGACTTATTGGGCCGATTCGATGTTGAATTGAAGAAAAAACGTCCCCATTTGTCGAAAAAAAAGTGTTGTTCCATCAGAACAATGCACCGGCTCACTCCTCCGCAGTCGCCACAGCCAAATTGATCGAATTACGGTACGAATTGCTGCCGCATCCACCGTACTCTCCGGATTCGGCCCCCTGCGACATCTTCTTGTTTCCAAACTTGAAAAAATGGCTCGGTGGAAAAAGATTCACGTCGAATGAGAAGGTCATTGCCGAAACAGAGGCCTATTTTGCAGAGTTCGACAAATCGTATTTTTCGGAGGGGTTAAAAAATGGCAGAAACTTTGGGAAAAGTGTATAATCTTCCTAAAAGGGCATTACGTTGAAAAATAAAAAAAAGTTTTATGAAAATCTTGCGTTTTCATTACTAACACGGGTACTTATTGATTTGCCCTCGTATTTCAAAGTATTAAAAAAATGCTTTCTGTGGAAATGCAACTGCTTCAAGAAGGGCCAATTGTAATCACGTTATTCTTTTCTAGATAGAGATACGATGAGAGACATAATGAAAAAGATGTAATATTTATCTGCGCTTTTTAAAATGGAATTATACGATATTTTACATAACATGATTTCTCTATAATCATTCTTCAAAACAAAATATTAAGTTAGAAATATAAGAATAACAATAACTTACGAGACATTATAAGTAGATTTCTCTGGCACATATAATTGACATGACACATTAAATACCTCATAAACTATTAATTTTTTGATAATCGTAATATCCTAATACTTTTATGAATAGAATAATGAGATAAATCTGTAAAGGAAACATATACTTATTTGTTTAACAAAATTATTCACTGTGCCAACATATTTTTTGGTAAAACTTGAGAAAATGGGCGACCTATCGCCAATTTCAATAATCTTGACATATATAGTCAAGGTCATGATCCTAAGTGACCTTCTATAGATTTTTTAATTGTCGCTTGTTCTTCCTTAAAAAGTTATCATCAAATAAAATTGATAATATAAACATATGTTTAATTTTTCGTTTCTTTTTCAAATGGAGTAAAGCTGACAAATTCGCTGCTTTAAAACACGAATTCTCTCCTTTAAAACACATTTTCTCTGCTTTACAATACAAATTCTCTACCTTAAAGACATAAATTCGCTACTTTCAAAACGAAAATAATATAAGAAAAATGTAGTTAAATTAGAATATGATAAAATAGAAAAAATGAAATAGATAATTCAACAAATATTATTTAACGAATATTGCAGAGTATAAATAAACATGATCATTATACGGAGGGGAGGACGGGTCCCTTAAGAAGTTTGCGCGACCCGACGTTCACTAGGTCGCGCGGGTGGCGTGCGACGGGGTGCGGGGCTCGAACGGGTAACTAGGGCCACGCATTTGCCTACCCTCCTTATTTTGAGGGAGGGTGGCGGTGAGGGGGTGGTGCCTCCTCTCACTTAAATAAGTCCGTTCGCAACTACGGCAGGGGGCCCGCCGATCATTTCCACGATCGATGAACCTCCTCCCACCCTTGGGGTTAGAGTCGGCCCGGGCCGATGGGGTTAGGGGGTGTCTCTGAAGAACGTTGCACGCGTACCCGAGGCGTCCCCACACGACCTGAGGATAGGCACCGGCGGTAGTTTTAGCGGGTATAACCCCACCATGTGGAGGGGAGTCATACAAACCCCGCGGGGCGATCCCGCGCCCATGGGGTATGCGTAATGCATTTCTTCCGTCAAAAAAAGAAAAAAAAAGAGATCCCTTAACCGGTTAAGTGGTATTGTAGCATATATGCACAAAAAGAATCCGTGCCAAAAGTGGTATTGTAGCATATATGCACATCTTGAATAACTTCTATATTATTCAACGAATTTGCTTGAAATTTGGTATACTATTGTTTTTTGGGCTTCTGAACTCGATTTTGGCGTCAAATTTGTAAAATTTGATGGCGAACACAACATGGCGACTAATACGTTGAATGAAAATGGCGATTTTTGTATATATATTGCAATTACGTTTTA